AAGAGTCCCATTCATTTGTCAGAGTAGTAAATAATTTCCCAGCGGCCTCAAAGAGCAAACAGGGTCCCTAGCACCAGTTTTAATGCCAAAAAGTCACTTTAACCATTAGGGAACAAGAGCCCAATTGATTCTTAGCAGTTCTAAGGTAAAATAAAACTGAAGTATATACATTATTAGTCTGAAGCTCACACAAAAAGACTGTTGTGCTTCAAAGTAGTAATCTTTGGAAGCAGTGTGGTTGCTCTTACAAGGCTACACGCTCAAAGGATTTTTGAACTGCCCACTAATAGTTGCCTTTGGAACCAGATTTCAAACTACACAATAAAACATTCATATTACTTTATAATTGCACCTGGTTATTTCTACAAATAAAAAGTCATGCTACCAACCAGGCTTGACCTTAATTTTCCACCAAACTTGACTTGATTCTCTACAAAATCAAATTCACCACTCAAGGATGAAAAACTGGGCATGTTCAAAAGTGCTTCAAGAGATCAGGTCAGGATGGCAGCATTGGAGGGACCTGCGCGCACCTCCTTCCCCAGACACAACACATCTACTCTGACAAATGGAATGACTTAAAAAAGAGGAGATCTGCAAAACAAACCAATGGAGATACTGCCACAGAGGAGAAAAGGACAGCATCAAGATGGGAAGGAAAGCTGAGAGAGCTCTGGCTGAGGAAGCGATCTCAGACCCAGGTGTGCAGATGCACAGTTGGGAGGGATCTGAGAGAAGTGGACTTTTTCCCTGGGGAACGTGGGAAGGCAATATCCTGCCTCAGGCCCTCCAGTCTTTAATTCTGCACAGCAAAGACATGTCCCTGGAGTTGGCATTGAGGCTCACAGAAAAAACACTCGGGAGAGTTTAATGACCACAGGAAAGAGAGAACCCACTCTTAAGGAGCCTACACATAGACTTACCCAGCCTGGCACTCAGCACAGTATCACATCTGATAAATGCCCAAATCATAAATGAAAGAAACCCATTTGCCACTCCTCAAGCACCTGCCTGAGAAAGAGGAGTCCTTGGGGATGATTCCCAGATCAGAAACATTGGCACAACCTTGGCAACTTCAAGCATTGTTGCTAATTCCACGGTCCATGGATGCTATTTATTTACTTTTTAAAAGATTTATTTATTTATACAAGCCCTGGGTACAGTCAGAAGTGTGGGAGGGTGAGAGAATTCACCAGAGCCAGAGCGGGGAACAGAACAGACAAACTGACGAAATACACTGCTGAGGGGAGCAGCAGGTGGCAGGAGAGGTCTGTCGCGCCATGTGGGACCCTCGCTGGTGGGCAGGGATCAAACCAGTGCTGCAGAGGCTGAGGGCAACTTCGCAACCCAGCACTCAACCACTGTGCCACCGGGGAGGCCCCATGGATGCTATTTAGAAGCCATCCCCCAGCCTACTACAGATTGTGGGGTAGCCCTACCGAGACCTCACTCACCTTTGCCATGTAACCATCAGTGCCCAACTCCTGACACTTACCCAATTCACCACCTGGCACCAGAACCACCATGGACTAATCCCATAAGGCTCACCCACGCAGATGGGATGAACTGGTGCCCCCGCACACCTACCTCACAGCATCAGTGCACCACAGCTGGCCCATGGTACCATCCACACAGCACTCCAGTCATACTCCTCCACTGTGCCCACCCACCACTATAAGTGAGGCAGACAAATTACCCCACACAACCATGCAACAATAACACAGCAGGAGGGAGGTGCAGGGGACATGTGGAAAGCCTAACTCAGGTGGCCATGGGGGACTGTGCTCCTAGAATCTGAGGGATAATACCCCCATGAGACCATTCCTAAAAGGAAGGTCAGGGAACGTGGTTGACTAATACACAGAAACAAGCACAGAGAATCCACAATACAGACAGAGAGAAATATGTCTAAATGAAAAAATAACACAAATTTCTTGAAAAAATATAAAGAAATGGACATAATCCAGCTGCCTAATAAAGATTTTAAAGTAATGGTTATAAAGATCCTTACCACACTCAGGAGGAGGATAGATAAACTAGAAAAATTAAGAGCCAAACAGAAGTTACAGAGCTGGTGAAAACAATGATACTGAAAGCAATAGCAGGGCCCAACAGTGGAATGAATGAAGCAGAGGCTTATGTAAGTGAACCGGAAGCTTAAGTAATAGAACTCACCCAGGCAGAGCACCAACATGGAAAAATAAATTTTAAAAAGCGAAGGCACCTTAAGGAACCTCTGGGACAGCATCAAGGAGAACCATGTTTGTGTTATAGGGGTCCAGAAGGAGAACAAAGGACCAGAAAAATGTTTGAGGTAAGAATGAGTGAAAATGTTCTTAATCTGGAGATGGAAACATATCCAGATACAAGAAACACAGAGTTCCAAATAAGATCCACATCAAGACACAGTAAAATTAAAATGGTAAAAAATAAAGATAAAGAGAGATTCTTAAAAGCAGCGAGAGAAATGCAGTTTGTCACGTACAAGGAAAACCCCATAAGGCTAGCAGAAGATTTGTCAACAGAAACTTTTAAGGCAAGAAGAGAGTGGCAAAACACACTCAGAGGACAGAAATTATTTATCTTCCAAGGTTAACATTGAGAAATGGAGCAAGTGAAAATTTCCCAGATAAACAAAAATAGTCTGTCACCACTAAACTGGCCTTGCAAAAAACGCTAAAGGAAACTTTTTAAACATTAAAGAAATGGCACTAACAACAAGAAAATATATTCACTGGACAAGATAATATACTCACTGGACAAGATAATTATACAATAAAAGGAGTAGATCAATCACTTATAAAGCAAACATCAAGACTAATAGGTAAAATTGACTAAAGTCGCAATAATTATTCAAGCGATAAATAGGCATGAAATGAGAATTCAGAAATACAAAACATGAGGGGAGTTTTAGCATATGTTCAAAGTTAGGGAGTTGTCAACCCAAAACAGAACACTGCACATGCAGGATGCTCTAAGTGAAGTCAGTCAGACAGAGAAAGGCACAGACTTTATGATTTCACTTTTATATGGAATCTGAAAAAAACCAAACTCATAGATACAACAGATTGGTGGTTGCCAAAAGGAAAGGGAGGAATGGTAATAGGGAAAATGAGTTAAGGTAATCAAAAGGTACAAGCTTTTAGTTATAAGATAACAAAGTTATATGGATCTAATGTATCCATGTTGATTGTAGGTAACAGTACTGCATTGCATATTTAAAAGTTGCTAAGATAAATGTTGGCGAGTTTGTGGAGAAAAAGGAACTCTCCTGCACTGTTGGTGGGAGTGCAAACTGGTCCAACCACTATGGAGAGCTGTGTGGAGATTTCTGGACCTACTAAACATAGAGCTTCCATATGATCCAGCAATTCCACTCCTAGGTATTTACCCAAAGGACACAGAAACATCAATTCCAAATGGCACCTGCACCCCTAAGTTTATAGCAGCACTGTTTACAATAGCTAAGCTTTGGAAACAGCCCAAATGCCCAAAAATAGATGACTGGATCAAGAAGATGTGGTACATATATACCATGGAATATTACTCGGCATTCAAAAAAGATAAACACATGCAATTTGCAGCAACATGGATGGCGCTGGAAGGGATCATGCTCAGCGAAATAAGCCAGAAAGAAAAAGAAAAATACCGGATGGTCTCACTCATAGCAGGAATCTAGAAAACTTAAATAAGGGACCAGGAAAATGAATAACTATAAGAAAGTGAAAATCAAAATCAACAAAAAACTATGAACCAGAGACACTCTATGGGGGGAGGGGGGCGGGGAGGGGAGGGATTGGGGTCAAAGTAAGGGGGTTGCAATTGTATGGGGAATATAAAAATAAAATTTATTTTAAAAAAAATTTAAAAAATAAAAATAAAAATAAATAGAAGTTGCTAAGATAGTGTATCTTAAAAGAGCTCAGCACAAGAAAACTGTTGTAACTATGTAAGGTGATGGATTTTAACTAAACATACTGTGGTAATGGCTTTTGCTATATATATATATATATATCTCAATTATTACCTTGCACACCTTAAACTAATACAAGATAATATGTCCATTCCAACTAACATATCTGAAGGGGGGAATCCCATACTTCTGAAATATAAATCAATGTTGCCTCAAATTTTTTTTAAATAATTAAATAGACACAGAAAACTGGGTGGGGGAAAATTATCAAATATAGACAGTATTTGTTTTTTTAAAAGATTTATTTATTTATGCTTACTAGAGCTGGGGTACAGGCCAGAGGTGTGGGGTATGAGAGGATTCACCAGAGACAGAGTGGGGAACAGAACAGGCAGATCCACTGAAATACACTGCTGAGGGGAGCAGTGGGTGAGACAGGAGTGGTCTGCTGCACCATGTGGTTTGCTCCCTGGCCAGCTGGAGATCGAACTTGCGCTGCACAGGCTGCAGACAGCTTCATAGGTTGCATCTTAAACCCTTGCGCCACCAGGGAGGCCCTAGTACAGTATTTGTGACTGGATTTTAAAATTAAAAAAAAAAAAATGCTTATACTGAAAAATTAAACTAAAATTCTTTGTTTGCATAGCATCATTAAAATGAGTGCAAATCTCTTACCAAGAAGACCCTTTTGAAGTGGATACTACTGACATGACTGTGTGGTTCTGTTTTATTTAAAAACCAACCTCATTCTTTGTAGTAGCCCTGAAATAAAACATCCTTAGTAGCCTCCTATTTCACAAGGGGTAGGAAAACAAGCCAGGGTCTATCAAAGAACAAAATACGGCTATCGGGAGACTTTAAATCCACTACCCTTGTGAACAACAGCAGCAGCAGATTGGTGTCTTGTTAAAAAGATAAGTATTACTACGAAATGTGCTCCGAACTTCAGATCAGCCAAAAAGCCTTAATAAATGTCAGCCTTCTACCAAACCTCACTTATCGTGAGAAGCACTTTGGTAACAGAACTTAGATCTGGTCTCGTTCTAGCGCTGACGTCTCCCTCGTCTTCTCCCCCTGCTCTCCGCAGGCAGCATCGCCGCCATCACGGTAGCCGTCATCGCTGTGGTGCTGTTGGTGTTTGGAGTCGCAGCGTACCTGAAGATCAGGTGAGATGCCCTGGACTCTTCACGAGGAGAAGGATTCTATTTTGTTGGGCTCCAGGCTGAGCTGTTTTGCTGAGTGCTTGTTTCTTGATAAGTATCTCAGCTCCGGGACATGTTGGCAGGGCAGTGGGAATGGCTGGCTATCCACATTGGACAGGAATAGATGGTACAGTCTCTGAGCCTTGGCACAGGAAGAGAAATAAGCTGAAATACACAGCATGATGAAGTAATAGAATAAAATGAACCTGAATCAGGAGACTGAGGCCTTGGCTCTCTGCCCTTAACTTACTTCATCTCCCTGAGAAAGCCACAAGCTTTGCGAACCTCAAATTTGTCTCATCTGTGAGATGAGGGAGGTGGGGGACTCAGTGAATCTTAAATATGAAAGTTTCTCACTGCTGTATGCCTGTGACCCTGTCTGTAATGAGGCTTCTGTTGGTTCTGAAGGAAAAATGTTAAAAATGCAAGGAAAGGGTAGCATTTTGTATAAAATTACTTTCCCCCACACACATTCTGAAATTATACCTTTATATTTTTGGTTTTAAAATTTCGTTTATGGAAGCAAGGTGATCACAGATGGTGGCTAAGTTTGTAATCTCATCAGCCAGATAGAAAGTTGTACTCCTTGTGACTCTCCACGTATATTGTCATCTGCTCTGTGAAATCCCAAAGTCTCAAAACCACATTACTCAAGTGTCCTTCAGATATAAAATGCCACATGGTAAGTGCAGTCTGAACTGCCAGTGTGTACAGTGCCCATACGAAGGGACAGCAGGACATGTGTCACCACAAGGAACACATCCTCCTCTTGACCTTCACCATATGTCATTCCAACAGCGAGAGTCACCTTCATGGAACTCCTCTGACCCTGTCACTCTCTCCTTAAAAACCTCCAGTGGCTTCACCCTAAATTTATAATTAAATTCTAATTCTTTAACCTGACCCTTGCGATCATTCACGATCCCACCCCACTCTACCTCTTCTTGTTCATTGTATTTCTCTCTCCCTCTTAACCACTGAGCTGCAGTCACTCCAGCTTTCTGTCTAGTTCTTAGAACACACCAGATTCTTTTTCTCTCCAACCTGTGGCTCTTGGTCGCCCCTCTCTCTGAAATGTTTTTCTAGGGCTTCGTCATGTGGCTTTCATGTCACACCATCCAAGAGATAGCCCCCTTACTTGCCATGCCAGTGTGGTGCCCGTTATTTATTCATTAGTGCCTTGATTACAGTAAGTCCTCACTTAGCATCACTGATAAGTTCTTTAAGCATAATGATATGAAATGAAACCCATTTGACCATAGGCCAGCTGATATAAGCAAGTATTAAATTCTTGTAGCATATTTCTAATCATAAAACACCACCAAACTTCTACATGAAGACCTAAAATAAGTCTAATATTGAACAACCATTTGTATTTACTCATTCATTCATTCATTTTCCAAAACACTTATTCCAGTTCAGGATCTCAGGTGGCCAGAGCAATTCCATAGGCAGAATCCAATCCTGGACACATGTCCTTCCATCTCAGGACACACCGAACACACACACAAGTTGGACAGTGGAGACACGCCAGCGAACTTCACACTCACATCTTCCAGATGTGGGAGGAAACTGATGTACCCAGAGAAAACCTACACATATCGTGACCCAGGCCAAGACTTGATTTTTTCCCATTAACTTTATAATGAAATGACATTGAACAAAATGATACTATTTGAAAACCTGCTATACTCTATCCTCCTGACATCACTGTTATTTCATTATTTTTTTGTGTATATATATCTATATATATATACAAAGTTATATATATGTGTGTGTGCTTATATACATGTATATACATACATATGTCTTTTTTCTCATTTATTGTCTCTTTTCCCCATGAAAATGTGAACTCTATGAGGACCCAGACTTGGTCAATGAGCACAATGCTGAGTGCAAAGAAGATGCTCAATAAATTGGATGAGTAAATGCAGAAAATAAGAATACACAGCCCTGAAGAAACTGTCACAAGTCCTCTTCTGACTCTCTGCCCCTCCCCACAAGCTCCTTCTTCCTGCAGGGATGTGTGATGTCAGGCCTAGTCCTTCCTCCTGTTTGGGGTATCTCCCCACCATCCCTTTGATATCCCTCCATCTCTTGTTCTCAGTGTCACCAGTCACTCTAAAGATGGTGTCAAGTGAGAGAGTGCCTTGTAATATCACTTGTATCTAAGACAGAAAGGCCAGGAAAGCCAGCTTTCAAAGAGAAATTGGAATTAAAGGGCCAGAATCTGTGTTGGAAAATGTTCTGAAAAGCATTGAGTCTCCCTCATATTTTAAAAAATCCTTCTCCTCATTAAAGCTTTATTTCTTTGAATTACAAACTTCATTTTATGAATTATATCTTCCTGAATGGCACACTTTTCCATCTGTTTTAATTACTCGTTTCTCACTGCAGATACACTGCATTTAATTATGAGTTAAATTGGCTTTTGTGAACAAGTCTGAGAATCTCATTTCCACTCTGTGACAAAGTTTCCCTTTGTGTCGGGGGTGGAGGTTTGTGGGAAAGGAACTTATGGATAAACTTTAGAGTCATTTTAGAATTGCCAGTATTGAGTTTCTGAGGGCTATGTCACCAAAATATATGACCTCTGCTGGAGTGGAGCGAAGCGAAATAGAAACACTTCCCTCTTGCCAAAAATGATGTTGAAATAACCTAAGGACTCTTAACTTCAGGCAAGAATTTAAACTCAAATCTACTACTCAGTAATACACACAGGCACTCTGGAACAGTGGTTAAGAACTGAGAGTCCAGAAACAGGAAACCACAAGTCAAATGGAGCTCTATCACTTTATAGCAAGTTTGAGTAAGACTTGAGCACATTGACTTCACTGGCCCTACTTCCCTTCCCTGTAAGGTAATGACTATCATTTTCACTACTTGGTAGCATTGTTGGGAAGATCAATGGACTCTGCTTCCCAAATACAAACCAATGCCCTCATCATCACCATGGTCAACTGGAATGGATCCAGCAAGACAGTTCTTGACACATAATATTAGCAGCTTCCCAGGTTAGCCAGGCATGTTTCTAGTATTGGGGTACATCTGATGAGACACAAGACATTGTATTTGGAAAATTTTGTTAACACACCATTAAAATTGGTTCTAATGAGTGCTAATTAAAATTACATTTGCTTTATTTTTAAAACTAAAATTGTATTTTCACTAGGCATTCTCAACACTACATAAATTCAGTGAATGACTGAATTGAATTTTTCATTGTTTTTCTCCCCCACATTGGTCTTCCCTCTTAAATGTAAGAAGCCCTCCAGTGGTACAAATTATAAGGCTGCTATTTTTCTTTGGCATTGCAAACTTAAAGATGGATAAAGTGATCAAATTCCTATTTAGAAACTCCCTAAAGAAAACCCCTTTCTGCCGCTCTGTTAATTTTTTTCAGCAAAATGATAACATTAGGAGGTTAATAACACTCATGAATCTTAAGGCTGTGCTAAAACTCCTTTGAGTATGATTTTGCTAGGACCTTGGAAAGCCCCACTAATCATTCATCAAAAATACATTTGACTTAATTGACAATTGTGTGAATGTGTATGTGTGTGTGTGTATACCCAAGGTTGGCTTTTGCCAACTTTTTTTTCCAGTAAATTTGGAAATTTATTCTGTCCTATCACCCCAGATTTCTGAGAACAGTAACATGACAGGAGGCCCATCATCTGGGGGCTTTAGCTCACTTGACTGCAGCAGCAACTGGCTGAAATCAGAGCCTGCGAGGGAACCATGAGCTGGTAGCATGTGACCATGGGCTATAGCCCTGGTTCAGCTAATGTCCATGCAAACACAAGAGAAGTGTCTCCTTAAAAAGGGAGCCTCACAACCAGAGAAAGGGTGTGTCTTGCAAGTTGTGCTAACAGTGGCACAATAGTTTCACCTTTCCCAAATTCTAGTTCCCTCAGAAGGCACTGGTAAACTCATTCGCTACCTGTTTTCACACTCCTATTTTTTTAGGAACTGTGACCCCTAGTTTTGTCACAGTGTCCCCAGCCTACAGAATCACATCTTTCTGTTATCTAAGCCAATTTGGATTTATAAAAATGGATTGCGGGCCTTCCCTGGTGGTGCAGCGGTTGAGTGCTGAGCTGCAAGACTGCCCGCAGCCTCTGCAGCACTGGTTCAATCCCCGGCCGCCAGCGAGGGGGAAAAAAAAAATGGATTGCCCTGAATATCCCAAGATTCTTCTCTATTATCCACCCCCCCACCCCGATTCAGCCAGTAACAGTATGGTGTGGAGGGAAGGACATGGGCTTTCCGTTTCCATGCTGACCCTTCTACTTACTATTTAGATGGTTATGGGCAAATTATAATCTTCTGTGATCTTTAATTTCTCCATCTCCAAGAATAGAGCTAATAATATCAATATTTCAATATTTTAAAGAGGAGATGAATTAATGAGTGTAGAGTAACTAGAGAGGTCATAGAGCATGATGGCTAAGAACCTGTGCTAGGGCAAGCTGATTAATCCCTGTACTCAGTCTCTTCATTTGTTAAATGGGACCACAATATGAATACCTGATCTAGGATAGGTATAAGGATTAAATGATGGCATAGATAAGCATTCAGCACTGGGTAAAAGTGGAGAACAAAGAGCAGACTACTAAATTACTGTTGTTAAAATAGTGTTTAGGGATCAGGAAAAAGACTAATTATAATAAAGTAAAAATCAAAATCAGAAAGCAACTATAAACCAGAGACACACTATAGGGGGGGAGAAGGGAGTGGGATCAAAACAAGAGGGGTGGGAATTGTACGGGGACTATAACCAAGATGAAAATGCACACATTGTACAAAAATAATGTAAAAATATATAAAATAATTTTTTTTTAAATAGTGCTTACTACTTAGGTGCTCAGTAAAATGGTAGCTACCAACATTCAAAGGAGAGAGGAGAGAGGGGAAGGGGTGGATGATGCAGCAGACCTGCTTTCTAATTATAGACAAACATG